AGCATGTGTTTGTTGGGGGAGGGGGGTGTTGGGGAGGGGTGGCCCAAGTCATTTAAACTTTTAAACCTCTATTGCTTTAATTACCAGGGCAGCCAAGAATGCTGCCTCGTGGGGTTCTTGTGGACTAGCAGAGATGTTGTATAAATCATCAGATCTGAAGGGCCCTTGTATAGTTTGAATTTGGCTGGGATCTTTAAAGGACTTGGAAAACTAAGGCACTACTGATTTAAATAATCTCACCAGACTTTAGCTTCTTCCTCTGTTCCTGGGGCTAATCTGACATTTCTGGTACTTCAGTTCTCTTCAGCAGGAGAACATAGCCCAGATCTTAAAAGCCCTGAAGACGGGTTATTCTGACAAGTTGACAGCTTTTCCTAGTAATGCATTTTTATCTCTCTTTTCCTCCAAAATCTCCTAGGGCAGGAGACTGTTTGAGGACTACATTTGTGAGACAAATCCTGACAAGCCATGAAGTCCATCCTGGGCAAGCTGCTTCCTCTCTCTTTGGGCTGCCTTGTAGCCTCACAACCTTTTTTTGCGTTTCAGGCAAGCTCTGCACAGTGCATTGAGTGCTGAAGACCTGGTATCTTTTGTGACACATTGTCTATCTCTACAAGGCTGCCACTGGCCTAAAAGGTGGAACAAAGCTTGGGCTATAGTAGGACTTCTGCCAAGTAGAAGCTGTGGCAGGTCTGTGTCTCCCCTACCACCCCAGGGAAGATGTTGCAGTAGAACCCAGGGAGTTCTCCAATAGCACCTAGGGGAATCTGGATGCTTTTTTCTGGGCATCAATATTTAAATCAGGCTAGGATTTATTTTGCTTTGTACTTGAAGTGTCTTACTATGCTGCTGCTGTGTTTGGGTCTTGCTTGGGCGGATGCTCAGAATCCCACCTGGACTGCTCAGGAAGAAATTCATGGAAATGGAAGACCTGGGATGTTCTTCATTCCTATCCCCCACCCTGAAGCTGGGCCAGGGATATCCCCTTGGCCTTCATTATCCCTCCATTTTCCCTGTCTCTGTAAACTGGTAAGTCTGTTTCAAAGGGGAGAGGTCTTTTCTTTCTTTCCTTTTTTTTTTTTTTTTAATTATTCATGAGAGAGAGAGAGAGGCAGAGACAGGCCGAGGGAGAAGCAGGCTCCTTGTGGGGAGCCCGATATGGGACTCTATCCCAGGACCCTGGGATCATGACTTGAACCACTGAGCCACTCAGGTGCTCCAAGGGGAGAGGTCTTAAGTAAGGCACAAAGAATAAGCAGTAGAGTTTTGGTAGAACCACATAAATAATTGCCCTTCTCTGAACTCACACAATGCTTTTACATTTTTTTTTTGTTTTTTTTTTTTTTTTTTTTTGCTTTTACATTTCTCCTAACAATTAACATTTTTGTCATACCATCCTCTCAGCTGAGACCTTATCTCCCCTGCCCCTCAGCGGTGCCTTGTGCAAAGCCCTTAGGGCCTGGCGAACAACAGGTGTTAAGCAAATGTTAGGGTATAGGAGGGGTTCATGCAGTTATTTATGGGTTGATTAACCTCAGGGATTTAAACCCTACCCCTTTGGACTATCCCTAGAATCACATGCCTTTATGAATGAATGATCCTTTTCTTGTCTATAGGGTATTTTTTTTTCCCTTTAAAATGTCACTTTTTTTTGGGGGGGGGCTTCATCATTAGGGGAGAGACCTCTGTTAAATATCCCATAAATTTCACATTTATATTGCTATTCATTTTTTTTCCTTTCCAGAGTGATCTTTTAAGTGAATTTGATTCTTAAAAGAGGTTGATTCTGTTACCCCCAAACTTAAAACTGCTTAATGGCTTCCAGTTAGTCTTTTAAGGTGAAGGTGAAATTCCTAACACAGCCTTATAAGGCTCTAATGAACCGTCCCTGTAACTTAACCTCTTCACATGCCTACTGCAGTTTATTCCTGCCACAGACTCCCTTTCTGGTTCCTCATGGATGCCATGGTCTTGATCAGGGGCTTTCATATGCACTGCTTTCTCACTTGGACTATAACTGCCCCATTCCCTGTCCACCAAAGTCAGTCACTACTGTTTTCATAGCATCCTGTACTTGACCCTCCATGGTACATATCAGAGATGTAATTAAGGTTTGCTTCTCTGTTAGGAACCACATAGGCCTTCGTTCATCACCCAAATCTTGGCTCACAGTAGGAATTCAAATCGTTGATGAATGAATTCAGGAGTTTTTAGCGTTTTGAGAGGCCTCATGGGACTCTGAGATGGTCTGTTGGTCTTGTGAATAAAAGGGATTTATGCTCACAACATGCAATTTCTCATGGTATTTTTTTAAAATAAATTTTATTTATTCATGAGAGAGACAGAGAGACAGGGAGAAAGAGGGAGAAGCAGGCTCCATGCAGGGAGCCCAATGTGGGACTCGATCCGGGGTCTCCAGGATCATGCCCTGGGCTGAAGGCGGCGCTAAACCGCTGAGCCACCCGGGCTGCTCAATTTCTCTTGGTATTAATGGAGATTTAGAAATAAATACATTTGTTCCTACTCAACAGTTCTCTTTTTTTAAAAGATTTTATTCTTGAGAGACATAGAGGCAGAGACACAGGCAGAGGGAGAAGCAGGCTCCATGCAGGGAGCCTGACATGGGACTCAATCCAGGGACTCCAGGATCCCGCCCTAGGCTGAAGGTGGCGCTAAACTGCTGAGCCACCGGGCTTGCCCTCAACAGTCCTCTTACATTGGCTGAAAACTAACCCCTTTCCCAGTGTTAACCTGTTTTTTGGGGGGAATGAAAGGTTTTTTTTAAAAAAAAGATTTGAGAGAGAATGAACAGGGGGAGAGGGTGAGCAGACCCCCTGGTGAGCAGGGAAGCCTATGTAAGGCTTGATCTAGGACCCTGTGATCGTGACCTGAGCTGAAGGCAGACACTTAACCCACTGAGCCACCCACGTGCCCCATGTAAGTTTTTAAGGGATAAATATTTTGTAGGATTCTCTAAGGTTTTTTCCTTGCTCATAAGGGAACTTATTTTGCCATCTAAACTGCTGTCCAGTATAATAGCCACTAGCTACATACTGTGACTAAAAAAGTTTCTCAGCTTCACTAGCCACATTTAAGTACTATTTAATTGCTACATGTAGCTAATAGCTATCAATTGAGGACAGCACATATCTAGAACACTTCCAACATTGCCAAGTTTTATTGGAGAGAGCTGATGTGGAACTGTTCTGTAGACTATTTTATCTTGCCAGCAAGACAGGAATCAAAGTATGTTAAACTTACATTAAAAGTGCTTATGTGCCTGTGAGCATGAGCGTGCACACACCCCCACCGAAGAGGACCTGAGATTTTGGTGAGGCCAACAAAACGTGTACATATTTCTTTATTCTGCCTGGTGCCTGGTACATCAATTATAAGGGAATCCCAGTACCTCTGCCTTTTTCTTCATGTAAGAGCCCTGCCTTTTTAGGGAATATTGAAGCTAACATGGGCCTTGTGTACTTTAAACCTCTTCAGACTGTTGTATCCTAACCCCCCAAAACCAGGAAAAATGTTGCTTCACTTGGGTTAGATTTTTTTTTTTTTCAAGCCCAGCATGGAACCCATTGTGGAGCTTGAACTCACGACCCTGAGATCAAGACCTGAGCTGAGATCGAGACTTAGATGCTTGACTGAGCCACCTAGAAACCCGTCAGGATTATTTTAAATAGAAAATATGTGAGGGAGGGGCATCTGGGTGGCTCAGTGGTTGAGCATCTGCTTTTGGCTTAAGCTCCAGGGGAGTCCCACATTGGGCTTCCCACAGGGAGCCTGCTTCTCCCTCTATGTCTCTGCCTATCTCTCTCTCTCATGAATAAATAAATAAAATCTTAAAAATAATTTAAAAAATACGAGGGAAATGCTATAAAATTAGATTAAAATTCACAATTTACACATGAGCATTTCCACATAGGTTTCAATACAGAAAGCTTAAGTAGAATTGAGTCTGTCACTAATCTTGCTTTTATGGAGACCTAAGCCATGATAAAATATAATGTTCATAAATCTTAAAAAAAATTCCGTAGACACATTTAATTCCAGAATGTTGTTACTGCTAATCATTAATACCCCACTTTTCTGCTAAAAATATGACATGTTCTCCTTCTTTGATCTCTCATAATGGTTATTCATTTTAGCCATAGTCTAAACCTAGCAAAATACTAGCACCACAGGAAGTGAGACCTCTTTAAGTAGTTCATAAGAGAATTTAATTGAACTTGTACTATGAAGTCATTGTTCATTGAATCAACCTGATAGGTCCATGGCAATATTGCAGTTTATCTTTTTCCTGATACTAGGGTTTTAACCTGGGTTTGCTAGCCTGTAAAGTAGAAAGAGTAGCTTTGATTATTTAGAAATTAATTAAGATTCTATTAATTAATAGAATTAAGGAACCTGACCACGAGCAGTAGCATACTTATCAATGTCTCAAGATTCTGGATAACTTTTCTCCACCCATTGTTGAGGCCATATTACTTAGACCTCACTAAATCCTTCCTTTTACATCTAAATTTCAGGCATCTACTCATTTGAATTTTGTAGTTTGAGCACTACTAAGAATGAACCAGAAAATACTTGGTAAAGAACAGTCAACAAACACAAAAAGGTACTTAAGTGTTAGAAACGTTTATTTGTCAAAATATTAAAAAAAAAAAAAAAGTGCGAGGAGTGAAGTAAAACAAGGCTAAATTTCAGCTAATGCTGTACCACGATCACAGGTCAGACATAAAACAAAACAAACAAACAAAACAACAACCCCCACCCCCAAAACCCCAATGGTCCTAGCAGTTTCAGAAGATTAGCTTCAGTGTTAAGAGTCCAGAGCTAACAGAAGAGTAAAAGGTCTCTTGCCACTACATGGTCATTTTAAAGGGAAAGGAGATGTTGCAGGTAGACAAGGAGAAGGGTTCAATTCCTAAGGAAAGCAAGATAAGAGGGGGTTCCACTGTACAGGAAAAAGGGGATGCCAGCATAATCCTTACCTAGGGCTGCTCAGAGGCTGAGAATATAAGGAATGGAGTGAAAGGCTACAGAGACTAGTATCAAGAGGAAAGAAAAGTCAACTTAGAAGAATTAAGAAAGAAAACATAGTTGGTCACAAACTCCTTTGTTTACTGAAACATGAAGCAATGGAAACATCCCGGCAAGGGGGACCGCGCGGAGCAAGTTCTCATATATGACCGCAGCCCGAGGGTTCAGTCCGCAATTATCCTACCTGAAAGAGAGCACAACACAAGAGGCTTACACAATGCCTGGAGAGCAGCTTGGTTCCGAGTACAAGGGCCCTGGTCCCGTCCTGTATTCCAGGGGGAAAAGAACAAAGAACAAAACAAAACCAAGTCAGACTGGATCAAACTTATATCCCATATAATTACCAAGGAATCTACTTATAGCTACATATAAGAAGCAATCTATCTGCAAGACTGCTGTGTTGGTGATAAGATATATCTTTCTCATGTTCTAATCCATCTTTTAAGGAAGACAACCTCTGTGATACAAGGGTACTGTCCTTGCAACAAAGGGCAGACACATACTATAAAAAACCATAATTTTTTGCATCCAGAAAAAAGCAGATGATGTCAAGATCTCAAATATGGCCAACTGCACTACTCTAAATTTGTTTCATTTTATTCCATAGTAAACAAGGTTTCAGAAATGACAATCAAAGGGTATCAGGGAACGGTTCAGTCACCCTCCAATATACCTACATGTCATACTGTCACAGATTTAGAGCCATAACTCCAGTAGTTCCCCTACTTGGTCAAACCTCCCTTACCAAATCAAAAGAAGAAATCCTAAAATTCTCTAATTCTTCCACTGATGATGGGAACTCCAGACACCAATGGCTGGGGGAAAAAAGAAGTTAACTCACACCAAGTTCCTCTACTTATTACAGACAAAGGGCCAAATCTTGGTCTTGATCTGTACCAACCGACTTCAAAAGTTGTGACGTTCTTGAATCAGTTCTGCTAGGGTGAGACCCAAATTCAGATCCCCAACAGTTCTGGAGTATTTCATCCTGGCAGCCTCATTAACATCAGGCTCCTGGGACTGCAACCAACTCAGGGTTATTCAGTCCATTTGAGGTTCACACCTGGAAGGTAAGTTTCTTTAAAAGTCATCACTAAAAAGAGGTTAGTTGAACAACCACTGCTTGCAGTCAAAATTCACTTTAAAATACCTTAGTGATAACCTTCTAAAGCTACAATATACTAATTTAACTATAAAACACATTTGAGGAAAACAGAAGTTATCTGGTAGATACCACCTTTAGAGAAATATCCCACTTCGTGGTAGATCCAGCTGCATTAAAAATAAAAATTAAGGCAAACTACACAAGCTGTTAAGATTATGTACTTCATGCACTTGAAGACACACTGCTACACAATGGTCTTAGGAGATCCGTTTTTGTCATAGGATATAATTTATCACAGGTTCAAACCATTATTTGCTTCTCACTACATATAAGGGCAAATTCCCATTGCTTCATTTTCTTCTATACGTATATACCAATGGGATAAGTTAGGAACCCTGGAAACTGTTCAACAGCCCTCCCAATTCAAGTGATGCTCAATTTCAAGATACAAGGAAAACCATGAGAATAGAAAGTTGTCATGATGCCATTTCCACTCAGATGGAATTTATCTAGAAAATCCTACTAATTATTCTTGCCATTCCAACATCTTTGGTATACACTTTCTGAAGTAGGAAAAATTAAATTTCTGGGGTCATCACCAGTGGGATTTTATACATTTGGAAATTACCTGTTTTATCTAGTTCCTTCTATGTTCCCCTTGAACAAAAACCAAAACAAAAGTTGCTGGAAGAAATGAGAAGTGTTTGGGGCTCTAAATGTTAGTAATAGGTTATGCAGAAATATGGCTTCAAGAGCTCATGCATACGGTGTTCTGGACTACTAATAAGGAAAGGACTCCATGGGATAGTGGCACCAAAACATTTTGCTTTCAAGTGTCTTAGAACCAAACACCTATAGCTTATTGGACTTTATTTGGCTTATAGATCTACTATATTAGTTTCCTCTGATAAAGGCTAATGACCTAAGTAGTTATATTAGCAAGTGAGAAGTCTAAAGTTGTAGTTAAAATTCTCACTGTGACATTCATTATTAACTCCAGGACCCGTATTCTTCTGCTTACATCGCGACTTTTCCAGTGAAGAGAGGTCTGGAGTCTGCCAAGGCTGAGTGAATTCTGACTACCTCTAAATTATCAGATGACTTCAAAGTACTTAACCTCTCTGAGCCTTCATTCTTTTCTCTGTAAAAGAGAAAATATTTTAAAGGCTTACTGTGTAGATTAAATGATATAATGTACAAAGAGGGCACTCAACAAGTGTTCTCTTAACTATGTGTCTGTAACCCAAATTGCTTAATTAAATAATATCCTCACTAACTGAGTTTGTTGTTATTCTCTCTGAAGGAATAAGCTGGTTGGAGTCATAGACTAAAAAACCTCAACAGGCCAAATGAACCTCTGGCCTAAGCTAGAGAAATACTTCACACTAATATGTAAATTTTTACTTCTTAGATTCTGTCCTGACAGCAAACATGTGGCTTTAGCCTCCTCTATGCAGCACTGATCTCTTTCAAGGTAACTACAGAGTCTTAACCACACCCACCCCACTCTCACCTCCAGTTTTTAAAAGGCTGAGTACCGGGCTCGGTCCACATACTGCTCCCGCTCATACCGGGCCATGTCATACAGAGAATTCCGTGCAGCTGCTGAAGCCTGAGACAGCTCACTCTCTGGCCCATAACCGTAGCCCTCTCCAACTGTGGGGAGCACAGCTGCAGCACGACGCAGGGGGCTCCTGTCCCTTCCGTAATAGGAGGAAGTGTTGGCAGCGGCAGCAGCCATAGCAGCCGAAGTGGCAGCAGCACCTGAGTTCGGCAACAGGTGTCTGTCGTAGGGATCAACAGAAGTGGAGTTGAGGTGACTGGTCACAGCTGTGCTCTGGACTTGAGGCAGATGGGACATAGACTGCTCCGCGTAGTTGTACGCAGAAGCTGCTGCTGCCGCTGCCACTGCCTCATAAGAGCGGACCCGGTAACGCTTATAGTAGTCGAGTGCTCCATATGCATCGTTGTAATACATGGATTCCCCGTAGCCCATGGTGTAAGGTGTGCGCACTGCTCCATACTGTTCGTTATACTGCTCGGTAAAGTCCGCCACACGACCTGTACGATCTACTGGACACTCTTTTGACCAGTGCCCCTCTTTCCCACACCGATAGCAGCCACTCTGGTCTCCCATCCCAGGGGCAGTCCGAAGTCGGCTTGTGGATAACTGCACGTGCATCCTTTTGCCTTGAGGAAATAGATGTAAGAAGACTTATTATAACTCGCTGGCATTCTTTAATCCTCCCAAAATCAAAGTAACTAGTTAGCATAAGACACACATACATACACACACTCCTGCAACCTATTTCAGCAATCCCCTCCAAAAGAAGTCAGAGTGAAGGTTTAATACAGATGAGAGAAAATTTGAATCCTCAGAGACCAGTCAATACTTTCTACTTTTATCAGGCAGCTTGATTCCCTCCTACTTCTGTCTCCACAACTTTCCCTTCCTTCCTCTGGCCCCCAACACAGAAACTGAAAAACTTCCCACTGCTAATACTGATTATAACTGTAATGATTCAAGATCTGCCAATTTTCCCAAATAGCCAACAACACCTCAGTTATGCCAGATTTGAAAAGTACCTTACCAACCTCTCACTGATTTACTCAGGGCAATATAGGCCCTCAGCAATTACTGTAGCTTAAAAACCACGGCAATCTTCTGTTCATCTTGTTTCCTCCAGCCATTTTTGCAGGTGTCACCAGAAGGCTATGTTGGATACACAAATCCTACCTGGCTCATCATCTGCTTCACCTTAGTACCTCTAGGAGTTATGTGACTCTCCAGATTTCAACCCCCCACCCATGTTTTTCAGCAAGGGCGAATCTGTGCCTACTGTGGAAAGAAAACTTGACCAAGGTCTCTCAACAGCAAGAATTAGATATTGAAGCAGTACTCATTTCTTAGAGACAGTGTGTTCCCAAATAATTCAGCATTTCATCCAGCCATGTAGCTCACAATTCTTCATAGGGGATTATCTACTTGTTAGAAAAATGCATCATTTGCCTAAAAGCCTCTGGGCATCCATACAAACAAGCAACACCCATTCTTCAGGAAATGGCCAGCACTACAAACAGCTAAGAGAAGAAACAATCTTTGCCTTGGGCTTGTGTACCAGCAAGCCCAGGGGCCCTTAACTGATGAAAGCATCCAAGGTCTTTAAAAGCAGTTTGAGGAAAGGAATATTCTTGGCAGTATTTAGTCCCAAACTGCCTAAGACTTTGGAGATCAAGTCAGTATTTCTCAAATTGTAGCCAAAAGGCAGCCATTAGAGATGCAGAGAACAGGGGCTTCACATCACTCTTAAGGGCTGCTCAGAACAAATCCCCCCTCCGCAATCAGCAAATTGCTCTCTCTTTAACAGACCTTGTTCTGGATGCAGCTATGCGATAGGAGGCCTCGTGCTCCACCATCCTGTTGGAAACAGCCCGATTCAGGACGGCAGCCAGAACAGCGCCATGCACTGACCCTGAGAGGGGAGCGGGTTAGTGCAGTAATAATCACTTTAGTCAAACTCCGTTCTGCCCAATGTCTAAGATTCCTACCACCCCAGTTTCTAGTAGTTGTTACCTCCAACTTAAAACCCTTTCTTTAGCAGAACAAAGATGCTCAGGTTTTTACTTCCCAGCTGCGAGCAGAGTGGGAGCATCCACCATCACCACTGATAGTCAACAATACCAAATGGCAGTAATTCTCTGCAGCATTTAGCTACCCGTTGTTTTCAGAGATTTAAATACTCCTAACTCTAAGAAGTTATTAAGGACCACATGCTAACTATGCTTAGAACAGAAACACATTTTTTTTGCCCCAGTTTATATCCCAAATGTAGAGCTCCCTGATTTAGACTGGAAGACTAAGTTACTTGGTTTTCAAACATGCATGGTGACATTAACCTATGTGATAGACACAAACTGCTTCCATTCTGAAGTCGGAATAACCATGTCAATCTAAAAAGCCAATTCGGAGACCTAAAAGTACATTTTTTAAAAATTTCAATTTAATTTGCTTTTTACTTTTATAGATTCTGGCCCTGGTTTTGTTTTTCTTTTTTTGAGAAACAAAACCCAGTGATTTTTCCTTGATATTTGTTACTACATCCAATCTTCATTCCTGTTTTATTGAAAAAACTCAAGTTTATAAACATCTATATTTATAAGATGTTTATAATCTACCTCCGTAGCAGCTGTAAAAAAGATTCAGGTAAAAAAATTTTTTTAAATAGAACTAAAAAATCTGTAATATAAGTATTTTTGCCACACAAAATTTTCCAAAGATTGTAACTAGGTTTTTAATTTAAATCCCCTGAAGTTATTAGAACTGAAAAATACTGTGCTTCTCTATTACCTTAAGGAACCAGGGCAAAGAAAATTGAAAGATTAAATTCTACCACTTTGCTACACTTGGAGAGGCCAAAAGCTTAAAGATTTTATGAGACCTCCAAAGTTACTGAAATACACTGCCAACATTTCCCAGAAAACTAGCCAAATAGAAGTGTTTTCTTTTGAAAGCTGGAACAGAAGAGATTATTAAAAATACTGAGAGATGGGCAGCTTGGGTCCTAAGTGCTGAGCTCCTCTCATATGCCAGGATCCAGAGAAGGCTGGGGGTGTAGCTAATCCACAACAGCACTCCAGTTTAGTGCCTATTTACATATGGGGAGAAACAAGACACCTGAACTCTTATATACCATTCCCAACTCAGTTGCTTGAACTGTTACTTAGGAACACCTTTTTGAGTTAGGGTCTTCCAATGCAAACTGTTTGCTAATTCAACAGTGGTTCAGTTCACTGCTGCTTGTGGAGAGGAAACAGGTCTTGAAAGACCCAGGTTAACTCAGATTCTGCTGCTTCCTTTTATAAGTCATAAATGCAGAAGCCTAATGGCACCATTAATAAATGTTCAAAAGATATTCAAAGTGGCACTCTTAAAGGCAACCTTTGGTAGGATCCGACTAAAAAGGCTTTATTGACAAATGTGATCAATTGGTATCTAGATTATATTTTCTGTAAAACTGAAATATATATCCCATGCTAAACTTTCTCTTGTCATCTGGAAAAAAACAGAGCTGGTTATAAAAATGTCTGTATGTATAACTCAGAGTAGAGTGCTTTCTTCGGAGTAGATAGGCTAAGAACATAAAAACCAAATAAAGGATTCTTTTCCAATGATGACATTTTAAAGAATTTCATGGGTCACTATTACTCAAACACCCACTTCTAGAATAATCAGACTTGCTTTATTAAAACACGCACTCTTCCCAAGCCAACTCCCCCAATTAAATGACTTATGCATGCATGCTTTTGCCCTTATCTTTTTATTCAATTGTATACTAAAAAGGTAAGGACGTGCAGTATTACATTACCAGGACATCTTTGCAGTATGTACCCGACTTTAATTGCAAATCTTTTTACATTTTGTTACCTGTCAAGAGAAAACCCCTATTTTCCCTCCACACACTGTCCATTCATGATCCCCATCTCTATCAAGTGAAAATTAAGAATATTCTTAAAGCTGTATGAAGTGCAACAGCTTTCCAAAATAATAAAAGAAAAATATAAGAGACGTGAGAAAAGCTATCACATTTTAAATAAACCTCTAACCGTAATAGAAACACACTCATTGTTCCAAACAACACTCACCTTTCATCATATAGTGCTTACTGTCAATACACTTTCACATCTATTACCTCATTCTAGCCTCACTACCATCCTGTGAGGGAGGTACTGCAGGGATCATTAATTCTATTTTATAAGTGGGGAAAATGAAGCACAGAGAGATTAAAACACTTGTCCAAAGTCACACAATTAGTTAATGGTAGCAAGTTATCTATGACTTTTACCCTCTGCTTTAGAGAGGAACTAAAGGTCAAGACACCACTGGCTGAGGCCAGAGGGATCTGACACACTATTTGCAATCTACAGTACTTGCAAACTTTCTTACCCTTTTCTGTTCAACTTTTCTTCTCCTCCCATTTCTTTTGTTTTCTAGGTTTAGCAGAGAACACTTAAGTATTTCTCAATAAACCTTTTAGTGGCACTCAGAAAAAATAGTGTTAACTTATGAATCTGAGAAGTGGCTATAAACGTGTGGGTCAAGATGATACTGTCAGCAAAAAACTTGTAGAACAGCGCTATCCAACAGAACTTTCTAAGATGATGGAAACGTTCTGTATCTATACTAATAAAGTCACATGTAAAGTCTCATGTAACTTCTGAGTGCTTCAAATGTGTACAACTGGAAAACTCAAAATTTATTTAATAGCCACATGTTGTCTAGGGGCTACTATATTAGCACAGTGGCAGAGTCTTCAGATAACCTTGAGGTATTAATGATAACCTTTGTACCTTTATAATTGGTAAAATTATACAATACACTCCATGCCACCTTTACTGGAACCTTTCAGAAGCAGGACCATCATTTCATTCAATCTAGTCTTCAAAATGTTTTTCTTTCTTTACATTAGGGTTAAATAATAGTAGGTGGAGAATAGTCCAATGGCATGGGTTTTGGCCCTGCCTGTATAGTTCACAGACTGAACAAATTTGAGCATTCAAAAGTTACTTCCCCAAATTCAGGTTCACCATTCAGGTTTATAATATAGAGATCCCTCTAGATGTCTCTGTCCCTCTTTCCTACAACAACCTATCACACAAAGCAGTAAAGAGTATAAACCCTAATCATTTAAACTCTCAAATATAAAGCTTCCTGGTCATAACAAAAGCAGGAGGTAATCCAAAGACTTTTATCCCCACTTCTTTGAGGTACTTATTTGCCCAGGCAGATTAAACTTCCCACAGCAGTCAAATGAATGAAGACTATGGGATAAAGTAACCCAGTTTGTGACTCTACAGAGTTGTTGAGGAACATTTTGGCAAATAAATCTGAAAAGGGAGTGTTTGCTTCTCCCAAGAGTAAACTGTGCTTAAATGTGGTAAACTTGCAATCTTTCTATTATATCCAGTTAAAATAGAAAGGAAACCACCACCCTGACAGCCACCTGGTCCTGTGTTCTTGTCTCTGTCTTAACCTAGACCCCACTACTCTGCCACCCAGACCCCAGAGCAGTTCACCTTGAAACTCTGTGTTGTCAAGGCCCCTGATGGCCTCCACTGCATCCTCTGCCCGCTCCATGTGCACGAAGGCATAATCTTTCACGATGTCACATTCGATGACTGGACCATACTCCTCAAACTTGGCCCGAAGCTCTTGGTTTGTACAGGTAGGACTGATGTTGCCCACATGTAACTTGGTTGAGGCTTTGCTCTTATTCTTGCTGGCTTCCACGTTGATGTTCACCCCGTGCAGCTTGTAGTGGTGCAGGTTGCGAATGGCATCCTCGGCTGCCGTCTTGTCCTCTATGTGCACAAAGCCGTAGTTCTTAATGATGTCACACTCCAGCACCTTTCCATACTGCTCGAAGAGTGAGCGGATCTCCTGCTCTGTGGCCTCCCGGGGCAGGTTTCCGATGAACAGCTTCACCATCCTGATAAGCGCCTGGGAGAGAAGAAATAAGATTTCCAAAAGTTAAGGGTGGAGTGGGAAATTTCAGTGCATTGCATTTTGGTCTAATCCTCCAAAGAAGTTCTTGGCACCTTCAAGATTCAAGATCTCACATAAACGTTATTTATTTTCTTAATAGGAAGAAAAGGTTTGTACATAAGAGGTAGTGTGAGGTGTGTGACACCCAAACAGGAGGTCAGGGTCAGCATGCACTGCACCGTCTGTTATCTCCGTGAAATGAGAGCATTTAAATAACAGAGTTGGCTGTTTTACGTCTTAAAATACTCTTTTTGGGGTGCAGGAAAGAGAAGAGCTCAAGAAGGGGGCAAGACGCATGTATTTTGAATGTCCCTGATAACGAGGTTTTGGAGGGAAATCGCTGTACCTCTCCTCCGTGCGGTATTACCCTCAAAAATACTCCAAGAATAAAGAGGCTTCCTCGGCCCCATCCCAGACCCTCAACGACCCAACCTCCAGCTCTTTCGCCCCAACAAAGACTCGACCCGACCCCTGCCCCGCCCCCTCCGGAGACCCGGCCCCGCCTCCTCCCGTTGTCTTCAACGGACCTCCCGCAGCAAGAGAAACCCACACCGTGGGCCGGCCCCGTCCGCTAGAGGCCCAGCCCGGCCCGCCCTCGGGCTCCCCGCACACCCCCACAAGACCCCCTCGCACCTCCGGGTGGCGGCGGCGGTGGCGGCGGCTCCCGCGTCAGAGAGAACCCTACAAAATGGCGACGGCCGCTCGAGCCTCGGCGCGACCGGGCCCTACCTCGCGCGCCAGCTCACGCACGCGCGAGTGCGCGCTGCCTCCTTCCCCTCCCCCTCGCCGGAGCCGGGCGACCAATCCCGCGGCCGCATACAAATGGCCGCCCCCGGCTAGGCTCCCAGCCGCCTCGACACGGGGGCGGGGCCAGCTGGTGACGGCGCCGCGGAGCCGAGGTCAGCCCGCCCCCAGTCCCCGCTGGCCAATCAGTACCCTGGAAGCGGGGGTGTCGGGGCTCAAGCGTCAGAAGGACTCCGGACGCAACCACTACGGTGGTGTAATCAGAATCCCGGGGAGTTGCTAACCATCACAATGGATCGGCGGGAGGGTAGCTGATGACAAAGGGTTATCTCGCTGGGTCCTCTAAACCGGGGCTTGCTTAGCTGGCTGACCAGCCTCTTTGGGAGCTTGGGTCAACATTTTAGAAACACAGAAGAACCGCATTTTCAGCAAACGTAGTCAATTTTTGTAGAGCTTTAAATATAACGATATTTTTCGCTGCAAGCTTGTTGTTCACTGGTGAGAAAACAGAACCAAAGATGGCAGAGCTGGGATAGTTCTAAGAAGCACTGTATCCTGGCTACATTTATCGGTCACATCTTGTTTGTGCATGGATATATGTGGGCTGTTTCTCTCTCTTGTTAGAGTATTAGCTCTAATTGTATGTCCCTCACGGTTCCTGGTCCGTGGTGAATATCCCAAAGGAATACTTAGTGCAGAAGCCCAGAGAAGTTCCTTGTTTAGGGCGGGGCGGAGGGACTGGGATGAGGAAGCGTCTTCAAATCCACACCAGCTGCTGGAGGTCTAGGCAACCTGGGCTCCGGGCACTTTCTAGCGTTCAAAATTCAGCTGTGGTCCACGGGCGCCTCCTAGCGGCAAAAGGAAAGCTATTAGATGGGTTGCTCACTGTCACCCTTGAACAAAGAAGGACGTGTATAGAGATGGATGGACCCAGCTTATCTCTGAGTGGAGTATGCCAGGGTGGTTGTCAATCACCTTCTTCATTGTGGTGGCTCCATAGAAGCTTCTCTGATACCATCAGGCACAAATTCCCCAGGCTGCCCTCTTCCTCCCTAGCTACTTTGATATTTCTTTCACTGAATTTTTTTTGGATTCCCAGCCATTTCAGAAGAGGCACTGTCCTTGCAATTTTAATACAATTCATGATTTCTCCCACCTAATTCTATCTACCTCTCCCCTTCCTTCCTCCCCTTGGTCATTTCCAGTTTCTCTCTACACCTAGACTTTTAAAACACGTATAGGGACCTCCTCACCCATTTCTAAAAGAGCTTTCTCTCATCGTCACTATTATTGTTTTCTATCTTGGGTTCCTTGCCTGTGTTCCAGGCCGGACTTCTTTGCAAAAGGAGTCTGAACCTGTGATGCCCACCTTCATACACTGTGTTTTGGGTTCTGCCCACCTCTCCCAATTCCCCAAATATTCTGAGCTCATCAAAACTAATGTCCTTTTAACAGTTTTCACCTTTCTAAAGCTTTCATTTTGTTCACTATCCATTTTCTCCCCTGTGTTTTTATGCTGTTCCTTCTCATTGTTGACTGCATGGTTCCATCTCCTTCCTCCCATCTATTTCCCTACCCTTATCTATCCCCTTTGATCTCACCTCCCCTTATAGGCAACCATTCTGATAAGCTTAATGTTAATTATGCTTGTGTTCTTGCCAGACATTTCTTTTCAGTGTGCATTTGCTTTATCCATTTTTAAAAATGTTTTATTGTGGAAATTTTCAAAAAAGTCATATACAGAGAATGTCATGATAAACTTTTATGGACCCTTTACCCAGCATTGGCAGTTATCAACATTCTGCTGACCTTATTTATTCCCTGTACTTTTTTTTGGCTGGAGGCTTTTTTCTTTCTTTTTAAATTTTTATTTATTTATGATAGTCACAGAGAGAGAGAGAGAGAGGGGCAGAGACATAGGCAGAGGGAGAAGCAGGCTCCATGCACCGGGAGCCCGACGTGAGACTCGATTCCGGGTCTCGATCCCGGGTCTCCAGGATCACACCCTGGGCCAAAGGCAGGCGCTAAACCGCTGCGCCACCCAGGGACCCCTCTTTCTTTTTCTTTCTTTCTTCTCTCTTTTCTTTCTTTCTTTTCTTTCTTTCTTCTTTCTTTCTTTCTTTCTTTCTTTCTTTCTTTCTTTCTTTCTTTCTTTTTCTTTCTTTTTTTATTTGTCAGAGAGAGCACTAGCAGGGGGAGAGGCAGGCAGGAGAAGCCTGCTCCCCATGATCTGAGCTGAAGGCAGGCACTTAACCGACTGAGCCACCCAGGAGCCCCAACTGGAGTTTTTAAAAGCAAATCCCAGGCATAATGTCATTTCACCTATAAGGACTTCACCATCTACCTCTAATTAAAACATCAGGACTATGCTAATATTATCTAATCTATATTAAAATTTCCCCTAGATTGTTGCAAATGTGTCTTTTTGCAGTTTTTTTTAAAGATTTTATTTATTTATTCATAGAGACACAGCTAGAGAGAGAGAGAGGCAGAGACACAGGCAGAGGGAGAAGCAGGCTCCATGCCAGGAGCCCGATGTGGGACTCGATCCCAGGTCTCCAGGATCACGCCCCGGGCTGCAGGTGGCGCTAAACCACTGCGCCACCGGGGCTGCCCTTTTTGCAGTTTTTTAAAAAGATTTTATTTAATTATTTGATGGAGCATAAGCAAGGGGAGTGGCAGAGGGAGAGGGAAGAAGCCGACTCCTGGCTGGGCAGGGAGACCAATGTAGGGCTCAATTCCAGGACCCTGAGGTTATGACCTGAGCCAAAGGCGGACGCTTAACTGACCAAGCCACTCAAGTGACCCTGTAGTTGGTTTCTTCTAATGCGGATCTAAACGAGGTTCATTGATTTCTTCTTCTTTTTTTTTAATTTTATTTATTTATGATAGGCACACAGTGAGAGAGAGAGAGAGAGAGGCAGAGACATAGGCAGAGGGAGAAGCAGGCTCCATGCACCGGGAGCCGACGTGGGATTCGATCCCGGGTCTCCAGGATCGGGCCCTGGGCCAAAGGCAGGCGCCAAACCGCTGCGCCACCCAGGGATCCCCTCATTGATTTCTTATATGGGTAAATTATCTAAATGTTTATGCAAATTGTGTTGCATGGCTCATTTAGTTTTTTCACTAAGCACCTGTGTTGCTGTGTGCTCTCTTACCACTGGGTAAACTCCCTACTGTGCAACCACCATATTCTACGTATAGGAGACTCATGTTGCCTCCAACTCCCCACCACTATAAACAAATTTTAAATGCCATTAAAAACATCAACAAATTGTTGATGTTACAATTAACATCGTTAATTATATGTGCCCTACTGGATCCCTGTGAGAAACGGGTGGGGAGTGCATATAAATCCAGAGTGGAATTGCTAGGTTGTTGGGTCATAGCGTATACGTGGAACTAACTTTAAGTAGTGCCAGAGTATTCTCTGGAGAAACCGTACCCTCCCACCCACAGCACGTGAGGGGTTCTCTATATCAATGACTCTGCCATTGTTGGACGCTGTCCAGTTTTCTAATTTCTATGAGTCTAATAGGTATAAAGTGATATAGCGTTATTGCTTTAAGGATCTCTTCCGTGAATTTCCTGTTCATATCTTTTGTCATCTTTCTTAGTAGGTTGCAATCTCCTCTTTGTTGTTGATTTGCAGGATTTTCTTGTATATTCTACACATGGATCTTTTACTGGTTTCAAATATTTTGTCATTCCACTAAATTATTAACTTTGTCCATGGTGTCCTTCATTGGAAGAGAAATTCTTTTTTATGGAATCTAATATTTGTCTTAAAGTTTGTGCTTTTTCAGTTTTGTATAAGATAACCATTTCTACACCCCTGAGTGACAAATATATTCTCCTACATTTTCCTCTATTAACAGTCATGTTTTTACTGTTCACATTTAGGTCTGTAGTCAATTTAAAGCACTGCCATCCTGGGGCACTTGGCTAGCTCAGTAGATGGAACATGTGACTCTCAATCTTGGGGTTGCGAGTTTGATCCCCACACCGGGTATAGAGATGTTAAGAAGATAAACAAAAGCAGTGCTGTCCAAACAGAAATATAAAAGGTCATCCATCTATGTAATTTAAAATTTCCCAGTAAAGACATTTAAAAAGTAAAATGAAACAGCTAAAGTTCATTTTAATACTTTCAAAACCCAATAAAGCTAAAATATTTCAACATATAATCAATATAAAAAGTATTAATAAAATATTTTGAATTCTTTTTCTCTTCAGTTTTTTTTTTTAAGATTTTATTTATTCATGAGAGACACAGAGAGAGGCAGAAACACAGGCAGAGGGAGAAGCAGGCTCCCTGCGAGGAGCCTGATGCAGGACCCGATCCCAGATTCTGGAATCATGCCCTGAGCCAAAGGCAGACACTCAACCGCTGAGCCACCCAGGCATCCAGTCCTCTTCAGTTTTTGAAGTTGGTGAGCATTTCACACTTAAAGCACTCTTCACTTTGGACTGGCCACATTTCAAGTGCTCAGTAGCCACATATGGCTCATGGCTACTGCCATGGACAGTGCAGATCTAGAGTTCACCCTCAGAGTCAGTGTTTGGTAAGAAGGCAGATACATATTTGTCCAAATAATCTAAGGTTAGCTGTCCATATTTCTCATTACTGTGGTAACTGTGTATACTGTATTTTTGTGCTCTAATCTATCTTGTCCCTCACTGCTCTATTTCATTAAGTTTCTTTCTGGAATTTTCCTTCCACTCATATCTGAAGGTGTCTCTCAAGATTTATTTCCTGATCTTATTTCTATTTTTCCTTTCTGTCTTGCCACCTAGATGATGCTCAAACCACATCTTCATGACTTCCCCATTCACAGTGATTGACCGCATCCTGCAAGACTGCTGTATTTTGCTGCCCTATTTTCATTCAACTTTTACATGTTAAAACGAGCAGTTCTTCATTAATTTCTTACTCCCATATACACTTCCTTTCTAAAATTTCCCATTATTGCTTCCCTTCCTAACTTCTATGCTTGCCACATTGGAGTTGTAAATACCCTGTTTCCCTGAGGAGAAAAAA